TAATTATCACATAAAATATGTTTGCCTTACTTCTTATCCGTTAGGAATGTTCCTGTATAATGTAGCTGATTTCTAGTGACTCTAATTATGTGTACCGGCGTACTGCTACTGGATGCCGTGCTTATTGAAAGGAGCCAGTGGTCCCAACCTACTCTAATGCCAGGAGTATGAATGTAGAACCGTATTTAGAAGTAGTTAGGGAATGATTAGTAGGTCAAGTGTCTTGATTGTCTGGTTTGAATGTTGGCGTGACATGAGGTAGTGTCTGTACCTTCTTAAATCTTCCTTGAGGAGACATGATTTGCCAGTCTGATTAGTTGTGATTGTGGAGTTGTAGGGTTCCGGAACCCTTGTACGGTTGCCGGCACATAGATTTAAGACCTGGTTGTGTGGTGCGGATGCTGTTTAGGGAGTCTGTTACTGCCGGGAATTCCCATCTGTGGATGAACGCTACTGTAGAGTGATAAACCAATTATTTATCTTTTGATATCTTATGTTAAGACGGGGTATGGTTTAAAAGGCTTGTCAGAACGTGTTATTGTATGTCAGTTCGGTATAGTGCGATCGTGTTGTATGAAGGTTTGAATAAAAGGTGGCAAAAAGCAGAATAGACTACAATTGTACGGTGTGCCTGTGAATGCTGTGTTCCACTGAGTCTTGTAAGAATGTCACGTTCTGTCGTACGTATTCTTAATGCAATTGAAAACGCTATAGGTGATCACCTGTTGTCGAGTCCCAATAGCCGGGTGACTAAATGAGGATGTTAAAATGCAGATTATGAAATGCGGAAAGTAACCGTGATGACAAGGAATCGGGTGTTGTAAGTTGGGTGAGGTACTAGGCCAATTGACTCTTGACCAGGAATCTCTAATAGTTATGTGGATGCTTCCACCCAGGATAGTGGTTTAACTGTACAAATTGGGAGTTGGTCGGAACCAGGCGGATGAACTCATAAACCCAATTCCGAGCTCTGTTGACTCCCTCTACCTGACCCGGACTGCCATGCCGAAGGACCTTCTAACCCTGTTTCCGTCAGTCTGTGAACCATCTACCCAAAGGTTAAGAAGGTGAATGATTGTACTGAATATGTTGCAGACCGCCATGCAGTCGGCCTAACCTTCAACTAGCCTGATTGACTAGGGGTCTGTCCGTTAATGTGGCTACCGCTACGGGTAAGCTTGACTAAGGCCAGTATTGCCATAGACTGAGCGCCACTTAACCGGCAGTCCCCAACCAATAGTTTGTAGGGCTGAATGGTCACGTGGAGGAGTTGGAGATCTCCATCCTGCTAGCTGCTAGGCCAGTGATGGCAAACCTTTTTGAGCCAGAGTGCCCAAACCACAATACATGCCAACTTTTTTTCCCTCAAAGTGCCAATATGGCAATTAAACCTGAATACTGAGGTTTACGTTTAGAAAAAACTACTCGCACAGTTAACAACTTTTGTTTTAAAAGAAGAACACAACAGAGAGTTAAATTATACAAATTTTAAATAATTATATAAATTAAGCTTATATTTATTAGTATCTCCAACAAATGCAATACATACACACAGACTGCTGAACACATTCACACACCGACTGCTTAATACATACACACACACAGACAGACTGCTAAATACACACACAGGTCGCTAAATACACACACACAAACACGCACACAGTCCGCTGAATACACACACACACACACACTGCTGAGTATACAGTCTGCTGAATACACACACACACACTGCTGAGTACACAGTCTGCTGAGTACACATGCACACATACTGCATTGAGGGGTGCTGTGTGTGTGGGGGGTGATAGGGGTGCTGTGTGTGTGTGGGGGATAAGGGTGATGTGTATGTGTGTGGGGGATAGGGGTGCTGTGTGTGTGTGTGGGGGGATAGGGGTGCTGTGTGTGTGTGATAGGGGTGCTGTGTGTGTGTGTGGGGGGATACGGGTGCTGTGTGTGTGGGGGATAGGGGTGCTGTGTGTGGGGGGATAGGGGTGCTGTGTGTGGGGGGATAGGGTGCTGTGCATGTGTGCTGGTGGGAGGGATAGGTGTGCTGTGTGTGTGGGGGATAGGGGTGCTGTGCGTGTGGGGGTTAGGGGTGCTGTGTGGGGGGATAGGTGTGCTGTGTGTGTGTGGGGGATAGGGATGCTGTGTGTGGGGGGCTGTGTGTGGGGGAATAGGGGTGCTGTGTGTGTGGGGAATAGGGTGCTGTGTGTGTGTGGGATAGGGGTGCTGTGTGTGTGTGGGGGGGTAGGGGTGCTGTGTGTGTGGGGGGGGGAGTTGAACATGCATTATATTTAAAAAAAAAAAATTTTAAAAACCATATTAAATCAGTATCCGCCCTTCCCTTTCACTTGCCTTTGGTGAAGGGGAGGGGGGGAACACAGCCATCCCTGGTGGTCCGGTGGTGGTAAGTATACAGGACAGGATGACAGGTCCTGCAGCTCTCCTGTCCTCCCCCGCGATGGTGTGGGGCGTTGCCATGGTAACACACGGCAACGCTCCACACAGCTCGCGGGAGGACAGGGGAGCTGCTTCCTTGATCCCTCCCTCCTGCTTCCGGTCCTGCCGACAAGAAAGCAGAATAGGCGCCTGCCATTTTGGGCAGGCAGGTGCTTATTCTGCATTGATGGCGAACCTATGGTTGCGTGCCTACAGAGAGGGCCCGGCGTGCCACCTGTGGCACGCGTGCCATAGGTTCGCCATCACTGTGCTAGGCCAAGTAGTTACGCCTGCCCATAATTGCTACAATCCCTAGTGATATAGTATCGAGAGAATTGGGTGATGATATTTAAGGCAGAGGATGCGACTGAAAGCGGTTCAGACAGAATAATGCTGAGGCGATGTTTATTAGTATATCCGGTGGCGCACATGAAATAATACGTGATTAGCTGAGGAGATATGGACATTTAGGGTGCACAGTGTGAGTATCCCCCACCTAGTATAGAACCCGTGTAATGAATATACCACCAAGTGCCGGACGGACGTGACTCCCGACAACGTTAAGTTGAAAGTTCTGAACTCATGATCTTCGATACAACGTGTATGGGCAGACGGTGTTGACATGAGTCCCGAGGCATATAGCACATACGTGAAGTAACCCACCGTTGGCAGACCTACATAAGCCCAGGTTAAAATCATTGCAAATAAGCGGGTGAGTACCCAGACCGTGAGGGGGTGTGAAAGGTGATGTGGGGGGCCAACTCTGTGGGGTGGAAGGAATGAGCGTGTGTGAAGGGCCTATATGAGCCGGGCTGGTGACGGAGAGTCTATTGTTGAATGACTGAAGATTGGCCAGAATAGTGTTTAGACTTCCTATTATGGCAGAAGTTTCTCCTTGTGATCCGATCCCCAACACAGAATCCTCCGGGTTCGGTTCAGTAGTCGTACAAGGGAGGAATGGTTTGTCTCCCATATTACCTTCTTGGGATGTGCTAAAAAAAAAAAATCACAACAACAAATAACAAAACAGTAGAATAAGCGTAGAACTGGCTGGCTAACTAGTGCCGAAGCGAACAGCTCTCTACCCCGTGACAGGTGAGGCCCTGCTAGTTGCCAAGCGTCTGGTGAGAGGCTCTACCTATGATCTGGGCGTGAAGCTCGTGCCACTAGCGTGGTGGCAGGGTGTTGGCCTCTCGGTGACAGTAAAGATCCAAATACGTGTGGCCGTGTCAGGTGAGGCCCTAGCTATGAACCCAATAGGTGGGCTAATGCGAGGCTCTAACTATGATTTGGGCAGAGGGGCAAAATCTCTGTGTTGAGATTGGGGAGTTGGCCTCGCGGGAACAGATCCGTAGTACAACTAAGGCCAGCAACCTAACCCTAGACAGTCAGTTCTCTAACCCTAGACGGGGGCTTGATGAGGGTGAAACATAACGTATTCAGCAAACCGAGTCGAGGTTTATAGGAACCGTGAGGTTCATATTACAGGGAGGTTAAAAAAAGAGATAAGAAGAAGAGGAGGAACTGTGGATGTGGGATAGAAGAGAGAGAAAAGGATGAGCAACCCAGTGTAGTTGTTGATGTGCATAATAGCATAGTAACCATAGACCCTGAGGGTACTGGAGAAACTCAGGATAGCATCTATATAACCCTGAAGGGAAATTTTCAGGAAGGCGTTGTGCCAAGAAAAGCATGATTGTATCAGAGGGGGAGAGGAGGGTGTTAAGAGTGAGGCTTGTATGAAACAGGACGACTGTCCATAGATAGCGAATTTGAGTAAACGTATAGCGAGTTATCGAGTAGAGCCGTGGCCTGTCGAGGCAAGGCGGGAAATCAAGCCCCCGTACCACAATACCCCAACGTGTAAATTTGTGGCCTTGATGAGGCAGTAAATGAACGAAAAGTATTTGTACCTGATTGAAACCTGTAGACAAAACAAGCCAGTAATTGACTGGTGATAGAATGCTGTCTTGGACGTGAAATCAAGGTGCAGTTTAAAAAAGGAAAAGACAACCCTAAAATATAAGTGGCTTCTAAACAGTATTAGATTATGCTGACATGTAGAAGGGCAACACAGTCGGTTGTACTATTAGACGATAGTAGGTAATCTATTTAGTGAATTCCGTGATATTGCCTATAGAATTATAATCATAGGTCCTGAATGTGCTGAAGAGACTAAGGATAGTAATTATTCCCCTATAAGGTTATCCTTGAGGATATTGTGTTAAAGCGTGGTAGGATTTAATGGATGACAATGGTGAAGAAATAAAAGGAGTTAAGGGAGTCTAGGATGGTTATAGCGAGATAGTGAGATGTTGGTACTGCATGACGAGTAGTAGTGTGGAGCCGTGGCCTGACGAGGCAAGGCAAGAAATCAAGCCCCTTATATGTTAAGAACCCCTATAATGATGCGTGGTTTTGCAGGCAGTAAATAGAGATGTGAATTAGGATAGATTAGTACCTGAAAAGCACGAAACCTATGGGAGTAATGACCGGGTTGTAGTAAATGCCTTTGCGAAATCTAATTGAGGTAGCAGAAAAGAAGGAAAGAAACTTGTGTGCCAGGAGTTAGGGGTAGTATTGTTCCTATGCAAACTAACACTAAGATGATACAAAAAATAATATATTTGAACAATCAATATACAGTGCAGTGTCAGACATTGAGTAGTATTACATGGGATGCACCCATTGTAGATACACCTTTAACAAATCTGAAAACAGGACGTGATGTTAAGCAAATTTAAAAAGGAATGCTCTCCAGCTAACAAAGTAATTGAATTATGTCACAAACTTAGGCGAAGGAAATAGACAATAGAGCTGTCAGCTGGGAAGCATTGATAACTGTAAAAGAAAGCAATTGCAGGAAACTTGGAAGCAAATCAAATGAAGTTGCATTGAATAAATAGAAAATGTAATGGGTTTCATGGTATGCATAGCTGAATCTTCAGCTTATGGCATTATTTAAAAAATCCAAAGCATTGCTGTATATATATGAATTACTGACCCTTATACTCAACCAACAGAGCTAATTGTATGTATATATATATATTATATATCTATGGCAGGCATTGATTAAATAAACAGACAATGAAAGATTCTTAATAAACCTCTGGGCAACTTAGCAAGAATATGATATCTAACACAATACATATTATATATTGATTAAAGCAGAACATAGCTTGTGTAAATGATATTGTAACTGCGTTCGCCTATTTAATTCGTTCAAGTGTTTTGTTCGTGTGAACAAGAAGAGGGGAAAAAAACCGTACAATTCGATTTGAAATTGTTGAACGGCAAATAGCCAGAACTTGGCTATTTTCCGATTACCTTGGTGTTCGTATGTTTTGTTTGCATGAAAGGAGGAGCGGGAGAACGGAGAGGACGCCGGGACTGGAAGAACGGGGAACGAGAACCGGAAGTTCGGCTGTCACGGAGACGAGGTAAACAGCGTGCGTATGACAAGGTAGGAAGGGGGGAGTAGCATTTATATAGGAACGCTAATTCCTCCCACAAATACAGGCCTTACGGAAGCTTAATGGCACTGTCATATGGATGACTTTTCAAAAACTTGTGCTAGGTCAGCATACTGGGGTGGAAGGAGAGGCCGTAGGTACATTTAACAAACATACTGTAACATATTCATCCTCACCTTGCGTCATCTGCGCTCAGCGGCCATGCATCAGCCTGACTCATGCAACATGTTGGTGGACACCGGCCACTGCGGATCCACACCAAATTATAGCCCCACGTCTGCCCACGGTGATGACGACGTCGGTGTGTGTATGACATCATGCGGGAGATGCGCGCGCACGTTCTGGGGTCAAAAGCCGATTTCAGCCAATCAGATTTATAAAAGGCGTATTTAAACACATTTTTACTTCTCCTCATTGCCCTGTCGTAGTTTCCCTTAGTGGTTGTCCGAGAGTGTGTTCCTGAGTGTTTATTTATGGCTATTGACTTTGGCTTTGTTTGACTTCCAGGTATTCTGGTATCCCTGACTTTTGGCTTTCCCTCATTGTTGTGTCTCATTCTGTGTCCCCGACCTCGGCAAGTATTCTGACTTTTTCTCTGGTACGTTAAGTCCGGCCATTCTAAGGCCCGGTAAGACATTACCTTTTAGTCCTAGGTGTGATACGGGTTTACGTGCTGGATCAATTAGTAATCCTGACATTAAGACATGGCCATGGATCCTGTAGAATTGTGTCAGCTTGCGATAAAAAGCTAGAGGAGAATGATCACCGTATGGATCAATTTGCCCAGGCTTTCAGTACGCTTCTTACTCGAACGGTGCATCTTCAGCCTGAGGTTTCTCTGACTATGTCACCTCTGCCTAAAGTACCTCCACCTATAGTACATAAGGCACCTACTATCTCCCTATCTCTTCCACCGCATTTTGATGGTAATATCCAAGAATGAAAGTGATTTCTGAATTAAATTGAGAACCACTTTGAAGCCTCACCGGGATCTTTTCCCTCGGATAGAGCTAAGATTGGTTACCTAATGAACAAACTTAAAGGTAAAGTCTTAGCTTGGGCCAATCCGTTATGGGAGAGTAATAGTAGCATTGCATATAATTACCAGGAATTCCTTGCAGAATTCAAATTAACATTCAAAACATTAGGCAGGGAGGATGATGCCTCCACTGCCCTAATGCCTATCAAACAAGGGAACCGGTCTATCTCAGATTATGCCATAGAATTTCGCACCTTGGCTTCTGAGGTAGACTGGACAAATAGCGTGTTAAAAAAGGATTATCCGAAGCAATTCTGGACGATATTGCTGCCAAAGATCTACCTAAAACATTACATTAGTTTATCACATTTGTCATGCAAATTGATAATAGACTTAGAACCAGAGAAACTACCAGAAATAGAACAAGACATATGGCTATGTCATTAGCACCTCATTTCTCCAGACCTATTGTTCTTGACCTCCCTGTACAGCCCGAACCGGCACCTATGCAGTTGGGGTTCACTAGACTGTCAGAGGCAGAAAGACAATATAGGAGAAAAGAGGGTCTATGCCTATACTGCGGTAGAAAGGGACAAACCTCCGCACCGAAGAACCCTAAGGGGACAGGTCTTAGATGTGATGGAAACATCCTCTGGGAATAACAAAAATAGATTCCTCCTTGATATTACAGCCAAATGAAACATTTGTACATTTTGTAAAAAAACATTCTATACCTATCAGGGAGAGATTATCACCTCTGGCCAGTGAGGCTATTGTCGGGAGACCTTTCTCTCAACCCTTAAATACCCACAAAACCTTGCCCATTAACATTTCTATTGGTGCCTTACACAAGGAAGACATAACACTCCAAATAATTGCTTCTCCTTCTTGTCCCATCATATTAGGATTTCCTTGGCTTATTAAACACAATCCTCATATTGACAGGGCAAAAGGGAAAATATTGGAATGGGGCAAGGACGGTACTGAGAGTAGTATGTTGCTCATTACCAAAAGAGTGGGCATCATTACTGAAATGGAAAAATCAATCAAAGTATTGATTATTTCTTTGTGTATCTGCCCCTGGCCAAATCAGTGAAACAATGTGTGCACGCTCCCTGAAGTAATTCACACCAGACACAGGTTCCAGGTTGTTGAATAACTTGAGGAAAGTTTATTCAGAGGGGACGGCAGGTCCCTTTTAAAGCAAAATTACATCATAAGCATTGTCAGAGATAACATAGAATAATACATCAATTATTGGTTAGGTGTTAAGTGGTTGCTCTAATGCTCTGCCTACTGAAGTGATGTCACCGGGACCATGAGGGTCTCCCACGGTTTCCCGGCGCCATCTTGCTGCACGAGGTAGTTAGTTGGTGTTAAGAAGGGAAGGGGGGGGAAGGAGGGTTTAGAAGCTTCTAGCAGCCATTTTGATTAAAACATGTGTGCTCAGCTTTATATATGATATATCGTGGAATGAGTAAATAGACATTTTCACTAACTAGGAAATATGTGCAGACCTTATTTCCACAACAGTCCCCCCTAAAATGGCTATTTACCATAACAACTGCTACTGTCCCTAATAAGTCCCTAGCTGCCTGCAACTTATCTGTCTTAACAAGCATCGAACACTTCACTCCGTGGGTAACCCGCAGTGGCTAGTCCACCACATCTCCACACGTGAGACTCGCCTGCTAAGACAGACGCTTTCCCTACACTGTCCCTACAGGAAAGCAGTTGTTTGTTTGAACTGATGTGATTGAAGGGGTGTATGTGGAGTGTCATCTTCGAGGTCTGTGATGTCTTGATGTAGGAAAGTAGGGGTCACGTCATCTATAGTCTTATCTACCGCTTTCTGTAAGTACTTCTGTATGCAAGGGAGCACGCAACAGGTTATAAATAAGAAGATGATAATCATTATGAGAACAGCTGTCCCTACCTGGAAGAGGGTCCTTTGCCAACCATTCATCCATCCAAACCATCTGTCCCAAGTGTCAGTGACTCCTGAATTTTTCTTTAGTTCATCAGAAAGACTATCTAGCTTTTCTATGGCCGTAGTCACCTTACCATTTGGCCCAGTGTTGTCTGGAATGTATGTACAGCATGTCATGGTCTCAGGGAGGATCTTACATACTCCCCCTTTCTCAGCTAAAATCATGTCTAGGGCCATTCTGTTCTGAAATGTCATTTGAGTAGTGGCTTGTAATTGTTCTGCTAGGCCCTGTAGGGCATCCCTTGTGTAGTTAACGAAGCGCTGCTGATTATAATAGATGTAGTTGATCCAATTGACATTTTTGTTGGCAGTTATCATTGGAATTAGAGATTCAAATCCTGCAGCCACTTCATCTCTTGCTTTGAATTCGTTAGGCACCCCCCTTGGCACACCTATGGCATCAATATACACATGGGGGTCGAAGCTCCCTCGGATAGGAGCCTCTCGTTTGGTTCTAGAGTGTACATGTGTAAGGTTTAACGTGTTATGACTACCATCTGGAATAATGTGGATAGGCATTATGACTTTGGTTAGGGCAAACTCCCCCCACCATTGCCCAGCTAATTGGGACCTCAATTGTTTGTCACCACATAACCAATAGATATCACCGATTTGTCTTTGTGTGGTTCATTAGCAGTGATACAGGTGGATTATGGTAAGTTGAGCAGTATCCTGATGGGAATTTGCCCAGGTACAAACCAGCATTCTTAGGTATTGTATAACATGTGTAATTACCTGGGTAGACAGTGACTCCATCAGGTGGTTTTACATGTCCATGAGTGATTGGGTAAATTCTCTTCCATGATTCACATGTTGAGGAGTTGGTGGTGGATTGTGCATAAAGACTCAGAACACATAATTCTACTTCAGGAGGTAGGCTTAGAGGTACTGTGCCCAGATGGGGCCTGGCTCCTCCACATACATAACAGTTAGTCTTATTATGTGAGTTGGCGTTATACCTCATCCATTCTAGCCACAAATTAGTGTCTGAAAACCCAGTCTCTACTGCCATGGTATCTTCAAAGGTGGGATTGGCTATAGCTACCATGTCATGTAGGGTCTTAATATGTGGTTTTAATGGGTTAATGATCATGTGAGTGGTCCCTACCCAGTCTGGGGAGGTGAGCATGTCTTGTAGGTAAAATGTCCCCAATGCATTATGTGAGCCACCTCCCTTCCAGTACATTCCCATCACATATTCTCCTGCGTCCCTTGGGCTGGGGTGTTCTATATTCAGGGTAAGTTTAATGGGAGTTGACCCTATGGGTTTACTCAGAGTCATTCTAGAAAGTAAGGGTTTCCCGTCTTTGTCAAGTCTGTCCAGTGCAACTTGAGGTCTGTAGCCCCATGGTCTACCTGTATTCCACCCGGCAGCTTTCCATGAACTACAATGGTGTCCCCAAACTCCTCCAGTCACACAAATGTATGGATCCTTTTTGTTAGGTATGTCTTTGTATATGGCTGCATATTGTGTTTGTGGAAATGTACAAGTAACTATGTCACAGTAATCAAAGGTGTACGTGGCTACATCAGTATTAGAAGAATTGTACCAAAAAGTGTAAACGTGATTATCTTTGGTTATGGCCACTTGTTGGGCCCAGGCAAAGTGTAGCAACATAAGAAAACACAAGACACATAATAAATTCATATTTCAACAGGATCAGCCTCTTCTGGAGCAGGCACTTTTTTGCAATGTGAAGCGTGTATCCAAGAACTCTTTCCAGCTAGTTTAACTGACGTTGCTGTAATCAGGAGCACTTGATAAGGACCATCAAATCTCGGTTCTAGGGTGTGTTTTCTGAGAAACTTCTTGACCATAACCCAATCACCTGGAAGCAGCTTGTGTGTACCTGTATTCGACTCAGGATCTGGAATAGAAGAAAACACTTGGGCATGTATCTTGGTCAAGGCATGTGAGAGGGCAGTCACATAGTCTACCATAGCATCTGACTGAATCTGAAGCTGTTGGGGAAAGTAGCAACCTAACCTGGGTGCTGTACCAAACAAAATCTCATAAGGTGACAAGCTATATTTTCCTCTGGGAGTGTACCTTACACTAAATAACGCTAGTGGGAGACTCTCGGGCCAGGGCATATTAGTTTCTTGTGACATCTTAAGCATTCTGGCTTTCAAGGTGCCATTCATGCGTTCTACCTTACCGCTACTCTGTGGGTGGTATGGTGTGTGGAATGCAAGGGTCACCCCCAGTGCTGACCAGACTTCCCGTGTTGGCGAGGCCGTGAAGGAGGTCCCTTGGTCACTTTCAATTACTTCTGGAACTCCATAGCGGCAAACAATTTCTGTCAAAAGATACTTGGCTGTAGTCCTCGCGGTGAGATTAGTCACTGGAAGGCCTCTGGCCATCCTGAAAACATGTCCACCATGACCAATGCATATTCATAACGTCCACTCTTTGGCATCTGAATGTGATCAATCTGGATCCTCTGGAAGGGGTATTGTGGTTTAGCTAGATGATTAGGTGCAGTCTTTATAATCTTTCCAGGATTGCATTTAGCGCATATAGTACAAGATTTACAGTAATTCTGTGTTAAGGTAGTAATGCCTGGTGCTTCAAAATACTTGTCAATCAGTGAGTTCATCAGAAGTTTCGACAGGTGGGCTGGCCCATGGGCCCATTGGACCACCGCTGAGTACATACTTCTGGGTAAGCAGAACTTGAGATTGATGGTGTAAACATCATCACGGAGTACAGCTCCTTTATTCTTCCAACTTTGTTTCTCCTGGGGAGTAGCAGCAGCTTGTTGTTCCTTCAGAAGCCTAAGATCTGTAGGCAGTGTTTGCATAGTGTAGATGGGTAATGTATCTGTGGCCACTCTTCTGTCCACTTCCCATCCTTGCCGTGCTGCTTCCTTAGCTGCCTGATCAGCTAAGTGGTTGCCACGTGCTTCTTCTGTGTCTAGTCTTCAGTGGGCTTTTACTTTCAGTACTGCCACCTCTGCTGGAAGTTCCAATGCATCCATCAGTTCTGCAATGGCTGCCCCATGTTTTACTGGGGTGCCGGTAGCCGTAAGAAATCCTCTGGTCTTCCAAATTAAGCCAAAATCGTGTGCTACTCCCAGGGCATATCTTGAATCCGTGTAAATACAGGGAGTGCAGAATTATTAGGCAAATGAGTATTTTGACCACATCATCCTCTTTATGCATGTTGTCTTACTCCAAGCTGTATAGGCTCGAAAGCCTACTACCAATTAAGCATATTAGGTGATGTGCATCTCTGTAATGAGAAGGGGTGTGGTCTAATGACATCAACACCCTATATCAGGTGTGCATAATTATTAGGCAACTTCCTTTCCTTTGGCAAAATGGGTCAAAAGAAGGACTTGACAGGCTCAGAAAAGTCAAAAATAGTGAGATATCTTGCAGAGGGATGCAGCACTCTTAAAATTGCAAAGCTTCTGAAGCGTGATCATCGAACAATCAAGCGTTTCATTCAAAATAGTCAACAGGGTCGCAAGAAGCGTGTGGAAAAACCAAGGCGCAAAATAACTGCCCATGAACTGAGAAAAGTCAAGCGTGCAGCTGCCACAATGCCACTTGCCACCAGTTTGGCCATATTTCAGAGCTGCAACATCACTGGAGTGCCCAAAAGCACAAGGTGTGCAATACTCAGAGACATGGCCAAGGTAAGAAAGGCTGAAAGACGACCACCACTGAACAAGACACACAAGCTGAAACGTCAAGACTAGGGCCAAGAAATATCTCAAGACTGATTTTTCTAAGGTTTTATGGACTGATGAAATGAGAGTGAGTCTTGATGGGCCAGATGGATGGGCCCGTGGCTGGATTGGTAAAGGGCAGAGAGCTCCAGTCCGACTCAGACGCCAGCAAGGTGGAGGTGGAGTACTGGTTTGGGCTGGTATCATCAAAGATGAGCTTGTGGGGCCTTTTAGGGTTGAGGATGGAGTCAAGCTCAACTCCCAGTCCTACTGCCAGTTCCTGGAAGACACCTTCTTCAAGCAGTGGTACAGGAAGAAGTCTGCATCCTTCAAGAAAAACATGATTTTCATGCAGGACAATGCTCCATTACACGCGTCCAAGTACTCCACAGCGTGGCTGGCAACAAAGGGTATAAAAGAAGAAAATCTAATGACATGGCCTCCTTGTTCACCTGATCTGAACCCCATTGAGAACCTGTGGTCCATCATCAAATGTGAGATTTACAAGGAGGGAAAACAGTACACCTCTCTGAACAGTGTCTGGGAGGCTGTGGTTGCTGCTGCACGCAATGTTGATGGTGAACAGATCAAAACACTGACAGAATCCATGGATGGCAGGCTTTTGAGTGTCCTTGCAAAGAAAGGTGGCTATATTGGTCACTGATTTGTTTTTGTTTTGTTTTTGAATGTCAGAAATGTATATTTGTGAATGTTGAGATGTTATATTGGTTTCACTGGTAATAATAAATCATTGAAATGGGTATATATTTGTTTTTTGTTAAGTTGCCTAATAATTATGCACAGTAATAGTCACCTGCACACACAGATATCCCCTAACATAGCTCAAACTAAAAACTACTTCCAAAAATATTCAGCTTTGATATTAATGAGTTTTTTGGGTTCATTGAGAACATGGTTGTTGTTCAATAATAAAATTAATCCTCAAAAATACAACTTGCCTAATAATTCTGCACTTCCTGTATTGACACGTAGACCTTCAGACAATTTGCAGGCCACAGTCAGAGCTGTTAACTCGGCTTCTTGAGCAGACTTAGTTGGTTGTAGGGCAGCTGCTTGTAATACTTGACATCCTGTGGTGACTGCATACCCAGTGTGATATTGTCCCTGTTCATCAGCAAATCTTGACCCATCCACAAATAGTGTTTGGTCCGGGTTGAGTAATGCAGCTTCATAGACAGTTGGTAGGTGTGTAGTTTCCATTTTCATTTGTTCAAAACAATCATGAGGAATATCTAGGTCACAGTCTGTGGTGAGTGGGTCTTCACAGGCTTCTGTGTGGTACCTTGGGTACCCTGCTGTACAGTAATTAATAGTCTTTTTGTTGATCCCCGTAGAAGTCAGTTGTTCTTGGGTCATTTGGCTCCAGGTTTTGGCCATCGGGCCTAGGTCTTTCCATGAGATGTCGGGGGATCTGGTGAGAGATATGTGTGGGATAGCTGTTTCCCAATGATGATAGAGATGTGTTACATTCTCTGGAAGATGGACTAAGATGAGCATGGTACCTGTGGGGTCCCAGAATAAGTCAGTCAGGGTAATTTGAATTTCTTTGAGCTGGAATAGTTCTTCCTCATAGTTCATATCAGGGCCTGGTACGTCCTTAAACCACAAGGTACAGTGAAGTAGGGCCACTGATTGTTCATCATGTGGAGGTGCAAGTGCAGGCAGCTGCAAATCTGCTCGAACCTCTGGGTTGATATCCAGGCTATACCAGTGATGCACAATTCCCCCCTTGGGAAGTGGCAGAAGAGTGGCTGGGTTCAGGGAAAGACATCTCTGGAGTTTCACATTGTCAGGTAGAAGTAAGGAGGTTTGTAGACGGAGGTGACGTTGGGAGGAAAGGTGTTTAGGTTGAACTTGTTGCAGGATTGCAGTAATGTCATGAGGGGCCAACACTGTGAGGTGATGGCCAAGAACAAAATCATTGGTCTTGTCCAGGAGGGCGCTGGCGGCAAACACCGCTCTGAGGCAAGAGGGGCTACCCCTCGCAACAGGGTCAAGCATGCAGGAAAAATAGCCAATAGGTCGTTGCCTTGACCCATGTTTCTGGGTAAGGACTCCGGAAGCATGTCCTGACTTTTCAGAGACAAACAAATTGAAAGGAAGTTGGTAGTTGGGTAGGCCCAAAGCAGGTGCAGAAGCAATAGCTCTTTTCAGATTGTGGAAACAGGTGATAGTTTCTTCAGTGAGGTGAAAGGGCTCACTCCTGAGGGCATCATAGAGTGGCTGCATGAGCTTTGATGCTTCGGGTATCCAGGACCTGCAGTATGTGATAAGACCCAAAAAGGCATGAAGAGTCTGATGTGTCACAGGTAAAGGGAGTTGCAGAATAGCTTGCACACGTTGAGAAGTTAGATGTTTGGTGCCATGGGAAAGGCAATGTCCCAAGAAGACCACAGAGGGTCGGCACCATTGTAGCTTTGATTTTGAAGCTTTGCAACCAGCTGCAGCGAGGAAACATAGGAGATCTTCTGAGTCACGCTCTGCAATGAGCAAATCAGGAGCACAGAGAAGGAGATCATCAACATATTGAAGCAGGACAACATCCAAATGAGATTTCTGCCAGGGATCCAGAACCAGAGACATGGCATGAGCAAACTGCGTAGGGGAATTCTGAGCCCCCTGAGGCATAACAGTCCAGGTATATTGTTGTCCTTCATGAGTGAAGGCGAAGAGAAAGCGGCAGGAAGGGTCAAGGGGGACACTGAAAAAGGCATTAGCTAGATCCACTACAGTGAATATTGTGGAAGTTGGTGGGACTTGGGACAAGAGGGTATGAGGGTTTGGAACAATAGCAGTGTCTTTTATGGTTACTTCATTAACAGCACGGAGATCCTGCACCATGCGGTACTGGTCAGGTTGACCCTTAACAGTTCGCTTTTTAACAGGGAAAAGTGGTGTGTTACATGGAGATGTGCACTTGATGAGGGCACCTTTGACAAGTAGACTTTCAACTTGTTTGGTGATGGCTTCAGCTTGTG